AAAAGAGGAGAGAGAGTAAAAGTGATAACAAAAAAAGGAGAAAAGAAAAAAACCAATACTCTTTTATGCTTTATAAATAGGTTTTTTTTTTGGTCTGTGTCTTCTTTCATAACATGACTAATATGGAAATATGTTTTGCATGATTACACACGTATAACCTACACCAAATTGTTCACTGTCTTAGGAGGGGGGAGGTAAAGGAGCGAGAGAAAAAATCTGAAACTCAAATTTTTTTCAAAATGAATGTTCAAAATTGTCTTCATATATAATTGTGGGAAAAAACAAAATTATTTGAAGCTTAAGGCAAAATAAAAAAGATAAGTGGGTCTGTGGATTGCCTAGAGCGGGTTCCCAGATTGAGCTAATAAAAGTGTAGTAGAAAAGGCAATAGACTTAAAATAGAAAGACCCGGATTCAAGTCTTCATTCATCACTTTCTAGCTGTGTGACTTGGATTTAGTCCCTTAACCTTTCTGAGCCTTCATCTCTGATCTGAGGATGATCAATTCTCCTATTGTGCACTTCTGAGGGTTCTTAGAAGTAAAGTATTTTGTAAACTATAAAGCATTATTCAAACGTGAGCTAATATTATTCTTGAGCTAACACAGACCAATTAGTTCCAGGATAAAAAAAAAAACATAAATCCTGTTCTTATCTTTATATTTAATAAAAGGGGGGCACATTGTTCTTCCCACAAGTTTTGCAAAACATTGGACCAAAGTTTAAAAAAAAAAGGCAATTCCTTAAGAAGACCAACCTATAAGCATCATTCGCACAGGTATGATACAAATATCACAAGAGGTCCTTACCACTTACTGGTATAGCTTGCCAAATCATTTACAGAGCACAACATCTTCTTCTATGCCTAATTCTAGTGGGTGTCACTTACTCAGAAGCAGGTATGAGTAAAAGGAAAAAAGGCAAAAATCAATCCAGAAAATAGTGACCAAAGTGAACCAACTGGTGACGATGGATAGGGAACAGTAATGTCTCTAGTAGTAAAATAATATCAATACAACACAAACAACAATAGTTTCTGGACTTTGACTCAGTGGGCAACAGGTCTGACCTAATATGGAGATTTAAAATTTTTTTGCTAGTTCAAGGGATTGACAACAGGCCAGTAGTACCATTCCCATTTGTCTCCAATCAAATTTCATCATGTAGTATCAGCGAGAATGACAAAAAAGATAGGCTACCTCAAAACATTCAGTCAGTAATTAAGCCAAAAATAAAAGGGAGAGGGTTACAAAGACTCACTTAGACTTCTGTGATGAATTTATCTGTGTCCTGTGCCATGAGCTGTCTTCTAAACCCTTGATTTCATCGGGATTTTTCCCCTTTTTCCTACACTAAACATTAGGATTGTTTGCTTTTCTGCTACTTAACAGTCTCCCTATAACCTTAACATTCCCCTCCACATCTCTTAAATCTCCCAGACTTTAACAAGTGGCGTCACAAAATGTATTCATAGTATGTCTCAATAGTGCTTGCCTGTTGTAAGTATCAAGACCAAGTCAAAAATATGGTGTATACATACACACACATATGTATGTAAACACATACATCAGACTGAGTTTGCCCACAGGACTGCCTTCATTTCTTTGATATGCAGTACAAACTGGCAAAAGTATCTTCCAGGAAATTTAGGAATGGAGTACACATCATAAACTCTCTCATACTCAGAACAAAAAAACAATAATAATGACTTTGTACCTTTACAGAATTTTTCTTTCAGGAATTCCAAAGGTTAACATAAAAACTTTCAGGTTTTTCTTTTAATTTTATATGTTTCAAACCTACATCAGACTGCCTGCTGTCTTGGGGAGGGGGAGGGAAGGAAGGAAGGAAGAAAAATTGTAACTCAAAATCTTATAAAAAAATGAATGTTGAAAAGTATCTTTACACATAATTGGAAAAAATACCATTTACATAAAATAAAATGTCAAAAAAAATTGTAATGTTTCAGAGAGATCAAATCATCAGAAACTCCTGCAAAGGACTGATGAACATTAAACCTGGTGTCTCAAGTTTCTTATATGTAAAAAAAGGAGATAAGTAACTTCACTAAGGTCACACAGCAAGATGATAACAAATTTAATTAGAAATGCGATGTCCTAGTTCTGATCTTGGGTTCAAGGCACAAAACCACTCTGTCCCCTTCAAACCATGTTTTTGATGCTCTGATTTATAATCATTTTTTGGCTCACAATTATCCTTGGCATTTAACATGTAGAGAATGTAAGCTTTTAGAGGTCAGAGAGTGTTTCAGTTTTGTCTTTGTATCTCCAGTAACTAGCATAATGCCAGGCACTTTGCAGATGTTTAATAAATCTTTACTGATTGACAGAGCCTTTTAAATTTAAAAAGCAAGATGTATATAAGTACACAACTCTCATCACCAATATAAATAAAACAAAATCACATTTTCTTTTCATCTGTAAGATATTGCTGCTTTCTTGAAAACTTAAATTTTTCTCCCAAGAACACCCAAAGATACCACTGAATGGGACTGTCCAAACAAAATGTCATACATGAACCCCAAATTCTAAAATGTTTTATATAATAAGAAAACTCTACAAATCTGAACATAGGCATAGGAAAGGTTTTGTAAACAAATGTTTGAGTCTCTACTCAATACAAGGCATTATGAAAATACAATGAAGCAAAAAATACGGTCCCTGCCCTCAAGAAAATTACAATCGAAGTGCACAAAAGACAAATATAAATAAAAACCAGTACTATGAGGCAAACAAATGGAAGAGATAATAATAGTGAGCAAATATTTTTAAGTTTTTCCATTATTTTCCCTATTTTGCTCATGTGTCCAATATTCACACTAAATAAATAGAAGTATGATTTGTATTTGGAGTTTATTCTCTTGTTTCAGGAAGCAGGATGTGCTAACATCTTGAAAGTTCTTAGGAAAGTAAGAAATGTTTAAGATACTAATCCCATTAAAAAGGAACCACTACTATAGCACACCTTTGTAAAAATCACATAATTACGGCTAAATCAAAAATTTGCAACTGCCAACCACTGTTTCCTTCCTATTCTGTAAGTAGAAAGGAAAATTTAAATTTAAAAAAAGAGCTTGAGGAAACAAAAATTTGGGGAATGAATTACAGTAATGCAGACATAAGTGTTTTCTCAATTAAATTAAAATGGTTATTTAAAAAATCATCTCAACTCTTCTTTAAGTGGGGGATGATGACTAGCAGGGAAGGCTTCAAAAAGTCTGCAGTATCTCACCTTCCATAGTTCAGAGGATTTCCCCTTACAACTTCCCCAGTATTGCTGTAGGTAGCCCTGACTACTATAAGTCTGGGGAGGATAGTTGGTTGGAAGCTATTGTATGTGTTTCCGGGAGGTCTTATATGGTCTGTGGTGTCACAGGGAGACCGTGGACCATATAAGACCTCCAGGAAACACATACACTAGTTTATCTGATGAACTGCTGACAAAGTAATTTTCCTCAACTACAGATCTTACCATGTGACTTCCCTACTCAATCAACTTCGGTGGCTCTCTATTACCTCTAGGATAAAATATAAATTTCTCTGTTTAATTTTTAAAGCCCTTCACAATCCGGCTCCAACCTATCTTCCCAGTCTCAATGAACATTATTGCCCCTTTCATATTCTACTTTCCAGACAAACCAGCCTTATCTCTGCTCTTCTCACAGTCTCCGTGTCTTGGTACTGGCCATCCCCCATACCTGGAATACACTCTCTCTTTAATTCCACTACATAAAATTCTTCTCTTTAAGGTGAAGCTCAGGCACCATCTTCTGCATGAAGCCTTTTCTGGTTCCTCCTCCCCAACTACTTAGTGTCCATCCTCCCAAATTAGCTTGTATATATTTGTAATAATTCACTTCATATTTATGCTTTTAGGATCTTTATATTTATGCTGCATATATTTATATATGCATTTGCCCATTAAAATGTAAGCTCATTGCAAGTAGAGATTTTTTCCATTATTTATACAGCATCCCCAGATACATTTACATGATACATAGTAGGTATTTAATAAATACTTGTTAACTGATTGGTTCTATGTCAACAACCACATGGGATTATGCTTCATCCTCATGAAGTACCTATATTTACTGTTTTTTCCCATTTTGTTTGACATCATCAGGATAGGTTCTAGAACAATCAAGAGTGTATTATTTGAAAACTCAAAGATAGATAAGGTGAATTCTCTTCCTGTTAGAAATCACTTAGACCAAGATATCAGTCAATACATAATTAGAAATTTATCTCCTTTAACTCATTATTTTTGGTAAGACCCTTCCAAAAATGGAAAACTCCTACTCTTAACGGAACCCAACCTTGAATTCAAACACCATTTAAAGTCATTAGAAGGCATTCAGAATTGTGTGTTCAGAGCTCACAAGGGTCCAATCAAATGCAAGATGGTGCCTTAGAGCCTCCACACCAAAAAAAGCCTTATCTCTCATATTTGCAAACCAAAATCCCCAGCTGTCAACACAATTTCTGCAAACGAGATACATACCAACATCAGTCATTAGGGGTCTCTTTACAAACAGTTTTAGTTCTAGCTGAAGAATCTAAAGACCAAATTCTGCTAAATATCAAGCATAAGTACAAATAATAACTTGAAAATGCTACCACAAAGGAACAATGACTGGAAATAGAGCCAGGCCACTGCCTAAGCAATTCCATCCAGGTCAATTACACAAATGTGACAAAAGGAGGGAAAGAAATACGAAATGAGCCCACAAACTGAACAGAAAGAGTGACTGGAGCAACATTTTAAACCAGCTCTGAAGTTTGCCCCAAACTAAATCTGAAAGCTGAAATTAAAACAAAACAAGTAGCACCATGATGCTATTTGCTAACGGCAACTAGACTGCAGACCCTGTTTAAAAATAAAACAGCCATCTGGTTTTCGTTTTCCTCCTTCTATGATTTTATGACTTGATACTAGATGTCAGAGAGCTTTATAAAAAAAAAAGAAGAAAGAAAAACTTACTATTATTGAGAATTCCTCAGCCAAATACTTCAATAATGACGCTTCTCTTGCCAAAAAATTACTTCTTTCTTTCATATTGCCTTGAAGTTGTGTATCGAACTCCTTTCTGACCACAGAAGCAACAGAATCAATAACCAAAAGTTTAACTCCCTTGGAGATAATTTCTTCCTCCAAAGACTCGATCCTTAAAAAGAATAAATATTTTAAAACATTTAACTGTATTGAAGAAATGTCAACAGGTCATTAAAAATGTTAAAAACCTTTTTTTTAAACTCATTTTGTCTTTCCCCATATTGCAGGTACTCAAAACATACATTTTTCCCCCAGCATCTCAGCAATTTGCTTATTTTATGTCCCTCAATGAACCAGATTGCTCAAGTTTCCAAGCAGTTTCTTTCTTTGGCTTTTCTATACCCAAAGCCACAAGGTTGCTAACGCTGTAGTGTTTAGTTAAATCAGAGATATTTCATTCACTTGAATTTTTGTTCAATTTTCATGTTAATACTTTCATAACCATTAGAAAGAAAGTAGGGTGTAGCAGATATAAAATGAGAGCAATGAGGAAACAAGGATCCTAAGTTATATTGCCAAGACTCAGACTGTCCATCATTTATTCAACAAATATTATTGAATGAGTACTGATAAAGGCAAGGTACTCAAGTACAAGTCCTCTCACTTGTATGTAGCTTACAGGCCTTATCTGACAAGATCTGACCATGCTGTTAAAGAAAAGCGGCTTGAGATCCTTACTTAATCCTAATCAATCATTTATTAAATGACTGCTACATGTCAATGATGGTATATAACTGCTAGTCTACAAATACTAAATACTCAGAAGAATTAATGTTGCAAATCACCCAAAACAATAATGAAAAGAACTTGATGAGCAAGGACAAACAAATTACCAACAAAAAATTATATGGACAAGTGGCAAAAATTATATCATTACAGAGACAAATGACTCAAAAAGGAGGCAGGCTAGGCATAAAGATGGCAAAACAATAATGGAAATGGAAAGAATAATGATCACCAAACAACTGAAAATTAATATTGGCTAACTGCAAAGAAAAGGCTTGACCCAAAAGAAGTGGTATGAGCACTTTTGCATAAGGGGAAGGTCTACAGGTGTGGAAGAGTACATGTAATGTCAGATTTTCTCAAAGTATTGAGTGATTTTGCTTTTTAAAAATTTCACTTCCTCTATTTTTTTCAAATTCTTTATTATAAGGGGTAGCTTTCTAGAAAGGGAAGGGAACAAGATATAGGAAAAAACCTCACTCATGTAAAAATATATCAGTAAAGATCTAATTTTTTTAAACCCTGAAGTATTACATCACACTTAACAAATTGGAAAAGATGGCAAAAGATGGGACTGCTCAGTGTCTGATGGGTTATGGAAAGACAGGCACACTAATGCACCGTTCCACAGCAGAAAAGAGTGCTTGTGGTCACTCACAGACCACAGCACAGGCCAGGAAAGGAGTAAATACCTCTCCTTTGATCATACCACCTTGGAAGAACTGAAAATGTATAGGTCCCTAGAAGTACCTTTAAAAACAGCTGCACAAAACCCCCAAAGCTCGAGACAGTACACCCTCCACACTAGAAGCAGAGCCCTCCCTTAACCAACAGTTAAAAAGTTAAGGAATTGGCTGAGAACATGAACAAAAGCATAAAAAAACTCAGACTATAGAATCTTACTTTGGTGACAAAGATCAAAACATACAACCAGAAGAAGACAACAAAGTCAAAGTTCCTACATTCAGATCCTCCAAAAAAACATGAATTGGTCTCAGGTCATGGAAGAGCTCAAAAAGGATTTTGAAAGCAAGTAAGGGAAGAATTGTATGCCTATTGCCTAGCATAGTGGTAACACAGGGTTAGCATTTACTAAATGTGTGTTAATTGACTGTCCAGAACAATTAGGACAAAAACATATCAGAATATAACCAAGGACTAGGTGATATACTTCAAGTAGACCTTCAATGGAGACACAGAGTTTGAGGGAGAAAATCATGTGGGCATGACATGATGAAGATCTGCACCAGGATAGCGGAAGTGTCAAAGGAGAGAAGATGGGTATAAACGAGAGACGAAACTGACTCCTTACCTTTTTAGTACATCACTGCAAGTAAGTTCCTGATGTAAATGAATTTTGCTGCTCAATGAAAGTAATTTTTCTTCAGTGTTGAAAAAGCTGGGGTAACGGAATTCTGCTATCCTGATTAATCTGTGGGAATAAAAATGAAACAAACAAAAATTCAGGAATAGCTAAAGTCAATTTGCTAAATTCCATGTACATTCCAAGTTAGCCAATTCATCAATCAGTACCAAAGGGTAAAATTAGAACAAAAGCTTTAAAGACAAATATGCATATGTATAATAGATTCACTGCTAAAAATTACCTTAGAGGGTCATGTAGCTCAAACTCCTCATCCCACACACACATTTTAAAAAGAAGGAATTAAAGATGAGGTAAGTGAAATGACTTGCCCACAGTGATGCTCATAGGAGGGTCAAAGCCAGGATTGGAACCCAGGTTTTCTGGATTCAAATCCAGTATTCTTTCCAGAAATGAATATAGGTTTAATGATGATGGATTCTTTTCATCAATCAATCAACAAAGACCAGTTAGAATCATGGTAAGAACTATAAAATCTTAAAGGACTTCATGTTCTAATCTCAACTCATTTATCCTTGGGCAAGTTGCATTCTTCTCTTATTTATCTTACTGATCTGAAGATAATAAATACACTGCTATAATATTTCAGCTGACTGTAACAAGGAATGTTAACAAGAGAATGAATACATTGAAAATACCTTCAGTTTCTTTGCTGAAAAATAAATTTTTATAAATATGGCTTACATAAATCTTTAAAGTTTGAAGACATTCGTAAAGCCCTGCAAGGTTTACAAAGCACTTTCCATATATCATTTCGATGATGATCATCAAATCAACCTGTCTTCAGTCCAGCCAATGTTCCATTTGATTACAAAATGAAATCATGAGTGAATTTGTTCAATCTAATGGTTTCTTGAGAGGTAGCACAGTGTTGCAAAAAGAGGGCTGGAGTTGGAATAGGAAGGAAGATGGGATGTTCAAGACCCACTTCTGACAGATACTAGATGTGACCATGGGGCAAGCCACTTAATGTATAATCATACCCAACCAAGTCTCTGAGACTGTAAATTACAGACCAGCTGCTAATATGAACAAGTAGATGGGAGGTACACACTGGAAGTTTTCTATACTGATGAAATCATAGGTCCAGAGGTTGGCCCTCACAAAAAACAAAAAAAACAAAAAAAACAGGCATTTTGGAAACTGAATATTAACTTTGTTACAGGATTGGGAAATGCAGGATCAGGCTTTGAGAGTTAACAAGTTGAATCAGACAGAAATATGTTCAGCCAAAACACAGAATGAGGAAAGAATCACAGGCAAATGTTATTTCTGTTGGTTGTTATGTCCTTTTTAACAAATATATGTAAAGGGGGCAGTTAGGTAGCGCAGTGGTTAGAGCTCTGGCATTGGAGTCAGGAGGACCTGAGTTCAAATCCAGCCTCAGACACTTGATACTTATAGCTGTGTGACCCTGGGCAAGTCACTTAACCCTGATTGCCTCACCCCCCAAAAAATTAATAAATAAATATATGTAAAGAGGAAGAGTGAGAACAAGGGAAATAGATAATAAATACCTCAATGTAGCCCCTTTAAAAGTTAGACAACTCTTACCAAAAATTAAGCAAAAAAAATTTAATCACCTGAATTTTAGAAAAAGTAGATACATCTTCACTGATTACTAAATTACAATCAAAAGGAATATACATATTTCTTAGCTATGCAAGATACTTTTACAAAATTGACCTAGCATTAGGGTATAAAAACCTCACAAATAAATGCCTAAAAGTATGTATTAAATATAATCTTTACTGACTTTAATGCAACAAAAATTATTTCAATAAAAGGCTGCTGAAGAAAGGATTAAAAATTAACCAGACTTCTAGGTCACCTCACAAAGAAGATGGAAGACTAGACATTTTTCTCCAATCCTCAAATCTCTCACATTTCTCCAAATACGAATATGTGTAAGACATAAAGCAATTCTGCTGTCTCATCAGTTTAAAATACTAAGAACCCTAACACAGTAACAATCAATGAACTAACAGCAAAGAAGGCTAATCCCTAACCCCTAACTCATTCACTCAGCATCTACTCCCCCAATATGGAGGGAGAAGTGTAAAAGCTAACTCACATACTTAGAATAAAACAACTCTATGAATCCCTCCTTTTAGTGCTAGGGAAAACCAAAACGCAGAAGATTGCTTTGGATAGGACAGCACTCTGTGCTTCCACAGAACTCAGTAAGAGAACTGAAAAACAGAAGGAACTAAAGCAGGATATTTGTGTGCAGGAGACTAACACTCCACTAAGTCTGAAGCCCCATAAGTCACTTGTGGCAGAGACAAAGGATAGTGAAAAATAAATTTTTCCAGTGTAGGAGAAGGTTTTGAGGTCCAGCCCCAGGAAAACTTCAACCAAAAGGGAAAGAGTCAGAATATGAGCAACAGGAGACAATAAAAGGACTGAAATTACCAAAGATCTCAAGAAAAAACAGTAAAAATCCTGAGCTTGAGCAAATAAACCAACAAGAAAGATATTAATGTAAACTGAAGGCAACATGGCCTCCAGATCAGTGAAAAGAATCCAGGCGTCTAAGAACAAACATTGCAAGACAAAGGAAAATTAATCAAAAAAACCTGACAATAATAATGCAAGAAATAATACAAGAAAACTGTTCAAAATTTCTGAGCACAGGAAACAAGGTACCAAGGGAAAGAATCTACAATTGCCTTTAGGAAAAAACAAAACAAAACAAAAAAAATCTATGCAACAAACTCCAAGACATAAAATGGTTTAATTTAACAACTCCATTGACAAAAAAGAAATTCTGCAAGCAACCAGGTAAAACACCTCCAGATATAAATTAAGTGAAATCTAAAGAACACAAGAATATTCTGTACCCACCATAAACCAAAGGAAGAAATGGAATAATGTACTTCACAGAGTAAAGGAATTCAAAATGCAACCCAAAGTGACACAGCTGGCTAACTTGTACCTAACCATTAACAAAAAAAGATGGACTTTTCTTATTTTTTTCTGGGGGAGGGGGGCAATCAGGGTTAAATGACTTGCCCATAGTCACAAAGCTAGTAATTGTCTGAGGCCAGATTAGAACTCAGCTTCTCCTGGCTCCAAGGCCAGTGCTTTATCCACTGTACCACCTAGGCACCCCCAAAATAGACAGACTTTCAACAAAAAATAAGTATGTGAAACATTCCTAGATGGAGAAAAATGGCTTACTTCTCAAACAACACATATAATATAAATATAAGGAGAGAAAACAAATATAGTAACCAAGAACAACAACAAAATAACAGAGAGACCATTAAGAGATTTCTTTCTAAAAGTAAACAAAGAGACAAAGATGAAAGCAAGAGCCAAATAGAAGAGATTGTGGAAAAATAGGCTTGAGACATTATGGGCTAAATCTCACCTGTACCTACAAGTTAATCAATGCTTTTGTGAGACTAAACTACAAAATGGTAGAGCATATAAAAGGAAGAAGGGAAGAAGACAGAAGAGCATATTTGAGGTACTCTAATCAAGGCAAAAATTGACAACGAAGGAAAAGTAATTCCTGAGGTTTCTCAAGAAAAAGAAAGCCTGAAGGAAAACGGGTAAGGAGGCAAAAGAAGGCACTGACACAAGGAGAAATAAGGAGAGGGAATTATTATTTCAGGAATGAGAAGGATATCACTGATGAATAGTTCTAAGGAAAAGAGATATTCTATGAGGGGAGATAAAGACTCTACAATAGGTATAATCTGGAGAAATTCAGCAGACACCACTCATCTTGCCCCAGAAGGAGAATCAGAGCTTTAGGAGATCACCGATAACCAGAAGAGTGTGAAGGCATAGACAGACCTAGGAAGGATACTACCTTCCTACCTCCTTAAATGGAGGTCTGGGTGAGGAAAAATGGGCAGTCAAGGCAGAGGTTATTCAAAGGGAGAAAGGTAGCTGGCAAAGAGGTGAAAATAAGTCAAATAAGCTGGAAATATAAAGTGAACACAAGTAGGACTCCTCCTCAAATGCTGGTCCAGTAGAAGAGAGCCACATCTACCTGGATCTTCATTGAATCTATGCTATAGCTAAGTAAATCTCCATTTACTAACTGCTGAAGGAGCTACTAAGGTCTCATTTCATCTTATGTCAGACCCAAACTAGCAGGGGACCTGTCTGTGACAAGCCTAACTCACAAGTATCCAGGGGAAGACTCGAGAGAATTGCTTAGAAGAGGCTAAGAAAATGAAATGTAAGATAGAAATGAGGTAAATGATGAAAAAAAAAGAATAGGATTTGAAAAAACTTCAGTGGAAAATTCTGAAGTATGTGGAAAAGCATAAATGTGATTAAAGCAAGTAGACTCTAATAAAAAAAAAGTTAAGAAGGGCTTTGGTGACAGTCAAAGAAAACAGATCAATTACTCTGGTATTTAAATCAACTCATTTGTAAGAAGGAGTTGGTATGGAGATAGGGCAAAGGGCTATAAGCAACATGTTTTTATAGATTGGATGATGGGTCAATAGGAACAGCAATAAACCTTCCCAACTTTTTTGGCAATGGCTACAGAATATCTGATGGGCAATAAAAACTCTCAGCCTTGGGCTGGATTTTACCCAAGGATCTGAATGATGAAAAAAAATCTTATAACTGATTTTTGCTTTTCTTTTCTCATTAGGCCCTCGTAAAAGGAATGGTGGTTAATATAAGTACATCAATTGACTGTTCACAGCTACTAAAAGCTAAATTACCTCATCCAATGAGTTATTCAGATGCAAATACTGCCCCCTAAAATTTTCTGTTTATTTCCCTCAATTTTTTTTTTATTTTAGATGGGGGAAAAATGCCTATTTAAAAAAAAACCTTTCAACCAAATATAAATCCAAAATTCTATAGGCCTCATGTTGATCATAGATATATATTATGATAATTTTCATCACAAAGCTCTTTTTTGGTCAGGACAAGTAATCAAAATGCAAACCTGTAGAAGCAAACATAACATATGAAGACAGTGACATCTACTGGACAACTTTTTCTAAGGTTATTTCAGCAGAACAATATGCAAAATTTAATTCATAATTTTGGTCTTTTTTTTAACTGGT